TTAGTAATAGCTACCCTGTATGCCATTACATGTATTGCTTCCAACTAATTGAGTCCCAGGTCAGAAGGAAAGATATGCGTCCCTTTTTTTAAATGACCTTATACACCCTGCATGGCATAGAGCTCCAGGCAATAACCTATGTATCTCTTAGTTGAATTAATTCTGCTGATGACTACTGACGACTCTGAGAGAGTAGTCATTTACCAGATACTTTTCCAAAAAAGCCAGTGGGATCATCTACACCAGTGAGGGCTTGACAGTCAGTTCAACTATTATTTATTCAAAATCTGAATTCATATTTATAATACAAAAGCAATGTAGCCTAAAATTTCAGTGCATCTCTAAAATCTAAATCCAGAATGCAATATAAAACCACAACCCTGGAGAGAGGAAGAGACATAGTATATTGAGATTTATCTAGGAAATGTGGTGAATTTAACACATGAATTTATTCCAAAAGTGGATATCAAAGACAGCAAATGTAAGAAACAATTCCTTTTCCTGAAGAAAAAGCTTCTGAATTTGAGAAACAGTTACATTGGATGAAAACACACAAAATTAGGAGAAAAACTGCTGCTCTTGTTTCATTCTATGCAATCTCCTTTATATTCTTTGGTTCTGCAATGATGTGACCATGAAAGGTTGAGATTATTATACTCAAACAATCAGGTTAACTCTTCACAAAATAAGTAAACCCAAACTCATAGCTGCTGCTGTTGGCTTGCCCTGTTGTCTCCAGGCATCATATCCTATGATTTAATCAATATAAAGGTCAATTTCTGGCATAAAAGTGAACTCAAAACGTAGTGCTAGCTCATAACTTTGTATTTCTGTGCTTTGTATCTCAGTCAATTCATCTTAAAATATACTTGGTAAAATGCTATCTAGAGAGTTTTTGTCAGACATTCAAGCTTGTCTGTCTGAAGGCAAAATAAGATGCAATTTCCACTTAATAACCCCTGTCATTAGGATCTGAGTCCACAGAAATTTCCAAAGGACAATAACTGAATGGATGGTATGAAATGGTTGAATGGCTGAAATAGTTTCTCAAAATGACTTTGACCTGATTTGTACACTTCTGCAGTAGCTTGGAAGAGCTGCAGAGCTGAAGACAGATTTAATTCAGACATCACCAAGTAAAAGCTAGCACTTTACAACTACATATCCCCATTCTTAAAATGTCTTTAACATTTTTCAACCATGTTTACATGGAATATTGCATGGCTGTGACAACTCAGCAGCTGTATGTAGATGAACTTCAGTATGAGACACAGAAGCCAGAATAAAACAAGAGCAATACAGCAGTATACACAGACTAACAAGGGAACATATGAAAAGGTACAGAAGGTACTAGTGTGTCCTAAGCAACAGTTATTTACTTCAGAGAAAACACTTTGGTCAGAGAACTCTGTAGACATCACACAGTTTTCTTTTTGAAATCAAGGTTCAAAAATTGTAAATTACCTACCAGAGAAATTACCTGTTACTTTATAGTGTTCTAACCCTGAAAACACCACAGTGTTTTACATACTGATATGCTCTCTAGTCTTAGACAATGGTAACTCAAAGGCAATCCTATTTAAATGTCTTGGTAGACATAGTCAAATCACCTGAAATAGACATGGATGTTCTAAGCTGCTACATGTATTTATAATAGAAGTTTCTGGTTAACTTCCTCTTAACATTGAGAGTTTTAAACATGATCATTAACAAAGTTGAGACAACTTTCAGAGTTCAAGGAAGCAAACAGTAACTTGCTGTATTTGTCCAACAACTTTATTATTGCCATGGATCACATTTATGAAGACATCATAAAGTTACAAACAGTTGTAATAAAAAAGCAGTTTCAACAATGTAAAGTGGCCCATTACATGTTCCATATGACAAATTTATTATTGCAGTGGACAAGTGCAAAAACTGTGGGAAATAAATATATTTCACCTAGCTTGTTTTGAGACAGAACACTGCAACAGGCCAAAACAATACTGTGTGAACATGATATTCTGTAATACATAATAATTATTTTGAGGTTGAAAAGTAAGAATGTAATCTATGGCAATTGAGCAACACGATTAAAAACATAGGCAACAAAAAACAGCTTTAGCAACGGATATACAAATATTAATTGTTGTTTAGACACCATTAATAGTTGTGTGGTTATTTTAATCAGCATCTGTATTTTTTCTTATTAAATATATTAACGCGCATTTTGTATCATCAAGGAGTGCAAAACTAGGACAAATCAGTGCTGCATGCTGTACAAACTTAAAATAAAATGGCAACATTTATCCAAAAGAGCTTACAGCTTAAAAGTGCAAGTAAAACACACATAACACAAGGAAAAAGAAGAAGATAAGAAAACACAAAGAAAGCACGGGAAGCAAAAGGTCTTGATAATCCTCTGACTTCAACATTGCACATTTTGACAGATCTCAAGCTGATGTTGAGTTTTAAGAACGATTCAGAGGAGGATAACTAAGTAGCTTTGAAAATATGTACAAAGGGCTCCTCTCACACTATTCCTAAGAGAGAGCATGAAAGTATTTCCTAGAAGATTTAATAGGCAGATGAAGGGGATATCCATGATAAATAAATAAATCCAACTCTTCCAGTATCATTTGGTCAATGAGAGTAAACATGTAGCAAGAGACAAAGCCATGAAAGGCATCAGAGGGAAAAAGAAAAGATTTCAAAAATGGAGAGCACACATTTACCCAAAGCATAAAACTGCAGCTTAGGGTAATTCAAAAATGCATTTTAATTGCAAGCAAGACGTATTCAAAATTCTAAGCTTCATAGCAAATGTTTATCAAACAGTTAATAATTTTTATTAAGAAAATTACTCTCAAGTTTGGTTTCTATATGGTTGTATATGTTAATATTCAAATGTGTAAATAAAATCAAGATAAAACTGTAAACAAATAAAAAATATATTAAAATACTTAATTAGATTTCAAAGCACACTTAGGAAAAATTGAGACAGCAAAAAGGAGCTAGGCATGCACTTTTGAACAGGTGGTGCTAAGTTAGGTCACACAGCTGTAATTGAGGTCAGATTATGGTCAGTGTAGGCATAGACACACTCCATGAAAGAGGTGAATTTCTTCTGGTATTTTTTCATTAATTACTCAGTGCCATTTGATCTCAGTGCTTTCTGTTGTAGATCCTCTCAGTAATCCCTTGTGCATAGAAGCCTTTCTCTAGAATATTATTTCAATATTACACATTTGAGGAAAGATTCTGATAAGTGAACCACTGATTTGCTTTCCAGCTGCAGAAACACTTAAAAGTCTCACCATTTATTTATTTACAGGCTGTCAGGTATTAGTATCAGGACACGAAGGACATTTTTACTTTTGGGTAGGAAGAACTGACTGGAAAGACCACCTAATTTTCATGACAATACAAACAAATCTTAAATTCAAAGACCATTTTTAAGTACTTTGTATCAGAGACAGAGGGTAAATCAAGCATCCAGGTAGATGTGGCAGAACTGACTCATGGAGTTTGACACATACTGGGAAAATCATTTTCACAATTTAGCATGTAAAACCAGAATAATACTATCAACCCAGCTGATAATCAAGATGTCAGCCAGAAGGGATTATGGTCAGCCTAGTGGCAGAGTTTTATTAGTTCATAATGGTTAATTTTATCTGGTTAAAAGAAAATAATATTTGAAAAACATCATGAATGTATCAACTTTAAGAGCAAGTTTGATTATATTTTCCTCTTCACTTATTACTTGAATTACTTTGCCAAAAATCTTGTTCTCTGTTTTCCTTCAGGTCACATTAAATCAGATTTTTTATTTTGGCCCTTATTTCTTCCCTAGAAGCTTTATGGAGAAATACATGACAGAAATAGTAATATCAGAATAGTAATATCAGAAACAAATCAGCCAACAGTGCTTACTTGAGAAGAGTTTTCTCTGGGTTGCCTGCAGTTTTACTGTAGGGAACTGGCAGAAACCAAAGTCATTATTACTAAACTCAGACTCAATAGTGTAACTATATTTTATTACTTTCTGACTTCTGTTGTAAAGGATAGTACATTTGTTTTGTGACCACCATTTAACTCCAAAGAGTGTGAATCATTTGGTGCAATAAAAATCATATTGCTTTAGGCTTACTCAGCCAGCTTGGGCACACTTACAATTTATGCATACCTACAATTTTTGATCTTGTCATGCAGGTGAGATTTACAGTAAGGAGTTACTGTAAATACAAGATCTGCTACAGTGATGGTAAAGTGTAACTGTGGTTGGCTCAGTGTCGTAGAATCATCGTAGAATGGCTTTGGCTGGGTGGGCCCTAATGACCACCCAGTTCCACCTCCGACCGCGGACTGTGTGCTCCCACCAGCAGGCTGCCCAAGGCGCATCTGGCTTGGCCATGGGCGTCTCCAAGAATGAGGCATCCACAACCTCTTTGGGCAGCCTATCCAGCACCTCGCCACTCTCTGAGTAAAAAATGTCTTGCTAACATCTAATTAAAACCTCCTCCCTTTTCATTTAAGGCCCTTCCTCTTTGTCCCGTCGCTTTCAGACCATGTAAAAAGTCAGTCCCCCTTCTGCCTGCAAGCTCCCTTCAGCACTGGAAAGCTGCAATGAGTTTTTGTTTTGTTTATCGCAAAGAACTGGGGACACTAAGCTGAATTTTTCATTTTTTTTCCTATTTTTTCTTTTTTGTTTGTTTTGTTTGTTTGTTTCATCAAGTTGTGTATTTTATCTTTACTCCCTCTGGTAGAAGCAGAAGCCACGGTTTTTAACGCTGCTGCAGAGCAACTGCCTGAACACAGCCAGCCCTGAATGCACCCCGCAGTCAGCTAAAGTCCCTTAGTCCACGCACGTGCTTTATGGCTTTGCAATGCAAGGGGACATCTCGGCGACCGCCGCCCGCAACAGTCCGCCCAGCACCCGGTCTGCCTGCAGCGGCTGCCTGCTACCACGGCCGGGCCCCGCGCATGCGCGGCTTCCCCCTCCCCCCCCACGCCATGTCGCGAAAGCGCCGCCGGACGGAGCGCAGTGATGGCGACGGCGGTAGTCTGCTTTGTACTGATTGCCCTGCAGCTGGTGGGCCCGTGTGGGGCGGCCGGCGCCGCTCTGCCCCTAGTCATCAACACTTGGGCGTTTAGGAAGGCCACAGAGACAGGTGGGGGGGGGCCGGGGCAGTGCCGGCGGCTGGGTGCGCGTCTTGCGGAACGGCCGCTGGCGTGTTTGGGGGGGGGCTCGGGGAGCTGGTGGGAGGTGGGTCGGGTCGGGTCGGGTCGGCAGACGTCTCATTAAAGGGCTGCGGTGTGATACTGGGATCACTCCTGTTAATCACTACTAATAATGGTTTGCCTAGTGCAAGTCTGCCGGCATAAATGTGCATAGTGATTTAAAGGGGCTTATAGGTTGTTTTAGCATAGTTGGGTTGTAAGTAACTCTTTAGGGAAGTCGTGAAATGAGTTACCTGTGAAGCTTTGTGTCAGTCATGAGTGAAATACTGACTGGAGAACTGCAAGGCCTTTGTTTTGCAGCTTTTAAAAACTTGGGAAGACTGCTCCCAGCAATGGATGGAGTAGGAATTGGAGCAGTACTCCCCACGTTCATTAAACACACTTATATGCAGAGCTGGGTGCTAGGCTTTGTTACTTTTTCCTTGCTGTTTGTTTGTTTTGCCCTTGGCCAGTTTTCATGTAATTGCATTCAGTGTTGATGAAGGTAGGAAGTTCTGTGCAAATGGGCATAAGAACTTATGGTAAGGGTGACAGAGCACTGGAACAGGCCACCCAAAGGGGTTGTAGAGTCTCCTCTCTGGCAATATTCAAGATCTGCCTGGATGTCTACCTGTGCAGCCTGGTCTAGGGAGCCTGCTTTGGCAGGGGGTTAGACTAGTGATCTCTAGAGGTCCCTTCCAGCCCCTACAATTCTGTGAATGTGTGAGATGGAACATCTGGAGGTGGCTGTGACTGAATAATGTGTTTCTTCTGCCTGTACTGTGTATGGCAGATGTGGAGCACCAGAGCCAGCAGCAGCAGGAGGAGGAAGTAGGATTGCAACCACCAGTAGCAGCAAGCTCAGGCATCCTGGAAATGTTGCCTGAGGTCCAACCTTGTGAAATGCTGCACGTGTACAGAGCCTACAGGCCCAGTTTATTAAAGTTATGTACAGCTGGCATATCTGTGATGTCTTAAAAAACAGTGCAATCAGCTAGATGGTGAAGAATAGAAGACTGAGAGTTGAACAAGGGAAGGTGTAGACTGCTATTTGTTTGTTCTTACATGGTTACTGATGAGCTTTTAGATCGTTTTTAAATCTTCAGATCTTTCTATTCTGTAGTTTTGTTTTGGTGAAAGTTTTGCTTAGCCTGCTTCACCCTCCAACTCCCCATAAAAGAAAACCTGTAAAATAGACACCGGTACAGAGTTTGTTGGTTCTGAATAGAGGCTATTTAATATACAGGAGTTTTTATCATTATTAAATAATATATAAATAACACATAAATGTAATTATTAAATAAAAGTAATGAACAATAAATAGTAATTAAACAATACATTAATAAAAATACATTCTCAGTCAGGAAAAAAAAAAAAAAAAAGCTTTGTTTCTCAGTCAGAAACACTGATTAGATATTAAAAAACAAAAACACGACAGTGTTTAGAAAATTAATAATTTATCCTGAATATGTGTTTATATTTTGCCTATATTTAATTTACAAGTAATAGTGATATGAGGTCATTTTTGTTTGTTTGTTTTAAGTCCACATATATAGAGCATTTTCATAGTGTCCATCTAGAAAACAGTCTTAAAGCAGTACTGGAGACTATTTTCACTGGTGACCTTGAATTATTTTGTTGATTACAGCATGGAGAACATTACAGTTGGGTGGTTCAGAGCTGGATGCTGTTGAGAAAGGCTGTGGTCAGTGTGAGATTGACCAGTGCGACGGGAGTGTGGGATATGGAGGAAGCCCAGATGAAAGTGGGGAAACAACACTGGATGCAATGATTATGGATGGGTAAGATAGAAGGGGAAAAAAAAATCTCTGTAATTTTTAACACATTTTAATGTAAAATTTGTCACAGTGGTCTTACTGGTTTAACTATGGGCAAGTTCTTCTTTCACTTAGTGGAAGAACAGCCAAGTGTGTCTATTAGGGAATTTTTGCGCTTAGCAATCCAGCTCTTGATAAATAGTTGTGAAGGGAAGAGTTTGTAGCACACTAAGCTTTCCCTTTAGATTAATTCTGTAAGTGTTTCACTTCCACAACCATTGTCTTCTGTACTTTATTTACCATTTTAGGCTGTCCTGCTTAGAAAGTAATTGCTGGTGTTTGGTTTGGCTATGAATTTGTGTAACAAAGTTACCCTATCGAAAATATTATTCTAGGTAGAGTAACTGTTACTTGAGCAACATCCCCCAACCTATGCAAGGTTCCAGTGTATCAATGTACATGTGAATTTCTTCTCCGCTAATGTGGTGCCCACCTCTTCGTGGTCCAGGACAATTAAAGCAGTACGTTAAAGTAACAGACTTTTCAGTTTACGCAAAGAAAGATTTTGCCAAATACAAAATACAAATTATGCAACTATATATTTTTTTTAATGAGTTCTAAATATGTCTTGCTTCCAGAAACACTATGGAAGTTGGGGCAGTTGCAGATCTCAAACATGTGAAAAATGCAATTGGTGTAGCACGAAAGGTCATTGAGCACACTAAGCATACATTATTAGTGGGAGAGTCAGGTAATTATTCCTTTTACATTTTCTGAGTCTTAACCTCTTTATGTTGTAAAATTGTCGTTTGTTAATCTTGAGTGGATGTATTCCCTGACAAACAAGTAAATCTTGTTAAATAGTGCTGAAATGTTTATTGTTACATGTGTATGAATTTGATTTTAATCCATCATTTCCACATGAAAAGAAAAATATAGCTTTATGATATTTTACCAATTTAACTCCAATTACTAACTTGTAATCCCAAGGCTTAGCTAATAATACTGAGCAGATATAAAAATGATTTCATTCAACATACTGTAGAAACTGAAGCTGCTAGCTGCAAATATTTCATTTAAAATCAGAGAGTAACTGTCTAAAGAATGACAGAAATAAGATGCTACAGTGCCATATTACTATTTTAGTGTATACTGGGCACAAATACTATATTTTTATATATAGGTTTTTATAGTTTAAGAGCAGTTGTGAAGATCTGAATATAGAAAATCACTTTAGGAGGTGTGTTCTTGGGCATTGTAAAGGAGCAAAAATTGCAAGCTTGAGGAATAGTTTAGGTTTTAAAGAACAAGCTGCTGCTTTTAGAATAACAATAGCTTCAGAAGAATATATGTTGCAGAAAAGTATTGAATAGTTAATGAAAGGTTACTTAGCTCATCACTGAAGATTTTTAAAACGTATGGGGCTGCTCCAAAAGAAATGTCTATGCAACTGCTGAAGTTGGGACTTAAAAAGAAATGTTTGAACTTTAAAAATTACTGCTTTGAAGCTGATAAAATACAAGATTCTTGAAGATTTTAATGTGTACAGAATGATAGAGAAATTAATGCAACCCAGCTTTTTCTATTACTCTGCAGAGGAGTAAAGTATGGCAATAGAGCAGGTGATGACTGTTTTGATAGAAGACATGAAAAAAGGGAGATGGATTTGCAGATGCTATTTAATTCAAGCACTTGGCCAGTTAGGTTGCAAGTGGCTTTGGCAAGAGATTTAATAGATAGTGCTGAGAAAAAAAATTAGGTGGTAAAGAGAAGGAATAAATGTTCAGAAAGTTCCATTGCCAATTGCAAGCAAATATCAGAGTACTTTAAAGAAATGAAAGAATTAAATACTGGTTTACATTATGTTTTCCAGTTTAGGAAAATAATTATTTGCGTAATGAAGTTATGTGGACAAGGCTGTTATTTTCAGTTATACCAACACAGAACTGAGTCTGGTGAGGTAGATTCAGTGCAGAATAATTACAAGTGAGAAAAATACATGATTTTGGTTATTGCCTGCTGAGAAATTTTCAGTTTTGTCTCAAATAGATTGCAGAGTTTCATAATCGCTGTGAGGCTGACCTTTTCTTCTTTTGTTCTTGCAATACTTAGACCAATATCCGAGTGAGAAAGTTCAGACAAGAAAAAATAACAACTCTGGTTCTTGGAATAGCAACAGAAGGATGAAAGGATGTGAAAAGTCATGAAAGGATGATGGACAAACATACATGTGCACGATTTTATTTAAAAAAGTATTTTTTTTAGAATTGTAAACATAAATGTGTTTCATAAGAAGATGCCATTTTTCCATTATTCTATGTGTAAAGAGGCTTTGATAGCATCTGTATTTAAGATTTTGTTTTGTTTTTGTTTTTAAAGCCTCCCTGTTTGCTGTACGCATGGGGTTTCCATATGAAGATCTAACTACCCAAAGATCTCTTTCAGTGTATTCAAGGTGGCTTAATCAAAGCTGTCAGCCAAACTACTGGAAGGTACAATGCAGTCACAGTAAAGGGGTGGTATTTGGTAGCCACAGTAATATTACTGCAACATTACCTCTTCCTTTCAGCTTATGTTGAAGTTTTGCTTTTGCACATTTGGAGCATAACTGTTCCATGTAATACACAGAACAAACCTGGATTTATCAAATGCTTGGACTCGGGAGGAGTATATGAATAGATCTTACTTCTTAAATCATGCAGTTTTGACCTTGCTTGCGAAGAGTTTTGGTATGGGATATATATACGTATATATATATATGTATTTATTTAAATCTCTAAATTTGGGCAGAACTTTTTGTGCTAAACAAGGCAGTGAGAGTACTTTCTGATGCATGAATAAGTATCTGGAATGGAATCTTACAGTAGAAGTTAGCTGCCATAAATACAGTGGCTTTATGCAGAACTGTGTCAGATCAGTGCAGCTGTGTGTGTTAAACTTGCCTTTTGTGATGGGCTTGCTTTATTTTGGTGTAGCTATTGCAGGTTTGTGTTTTGCAGTGTCTTTTTTGTTTCTTGTACCTAAAATGCTGCATTGCTGAGCCATTTTAAACCAATACATATTCTCATTTTTAATTGTGAAAAAAAAAATCTTCATTTTGCTGAAGAATGAACTTTTTTGACCACTCTGTTAAGCAAAAGAGAATATCTGGTTTCATTAACAGTTTACTTGAAAAACCTTTTCACCTGAAAATACGAGAAGTCAGTCTTCATTCTTTAAGCAAACCAAGTGTAGAGCATCAGTACAGCTGCAGAATTGTGTACTCGTTTATAGATATTGAGTGCAACATTTTCACGTTAATCTGTTATAAAGTAAAATTTATTATTCATGCATATAATTACAGAATGTGGTACCAGATTCTTCAAAATCCTGTGGACCATATAAGCGGCTTGAAAAAGTTTCATTTGAAGAAGAGACCATTTCACAAAGAAACATTCATAATCACGATACTATTGGTAACAGCCTTTGGTAACTCTGATCCTATTTTTTTCCTCATTCCTCGATTGATCAACTCATGCTGAGTTTAAAGCAAAGTATTTCATATAAAAACTGAATTCATAATCTGTCATTCCTGTTTATAGTGATTTCAAGACTGCGTTATTTATTTGTTAGGATCAAGTTCCTAAACATAAGATATATTTTTCCAGTGCACTGGCTGCACAGCCACTTCCTTCCTCTTTTGTTCTCTCTTACTTGTTATTATCTTATGCTTCTCCCTCAGACACTTTAGCACACCAGGCTGGACAAGTATATATGCTTAGAAAACTGATCAAGGCTAAAAATAGTTATTTTTATCTTGACTGTAGTTAACTTAGGTCACGTGTCCCGTGTAGCTGTCAGACTAACTTAAAAGGCTTTGCAGAAGTGAGAGAAATGAGTAAAAACTTAGACTTGTTGCCAGAGGCAGAGTTTGTCAAATTGTTCTTAAATGTATAAAATAAAGCATACTTACATTTTTCTTCTAATCTGTTTACAGAATAGGAAAAGTTTACAAATAACTTCAAGAATACAATTTTTCTGTACTTCTGTACTTCAGCATATTGATAACTTTTAAAAGTCTGTATATTGTGGTTCTATTTGATGGTAAGATGTAAAGTGACGATTTAACAAATTGCTCTGCAGTGTGTCTGAGTATGTTTCATACATGTTGAAAATTTTAGGTATGGTTGTAATTGGTAAGAGTGGAACCGTTGTTTCTGGGACATCTACTAATGGTGGCGTCCACAAAATTCCGGGGTTAGTATCTCTAATTTTGCTAAGAAAGCTTGTTTTTTGTTTCATTTCCTGTGTTAAGCTTATGTTAATGTGAAACAGCATATATTTTAGAGAGTGACATTCATGAAATCATCTTAGTTATTGCAAGGCACTACCATAAATCCAAATGCTCAGAAACAGATACAACATGTGTGAAGAACTATTTGTTTTTCTGGTTGTTTTAATTGCCCATGCAGGCATACAAAAAACTGACGTATTTGTGAAATAAATTTAAGCCAAGTCACTAGAAATGAGTGAGCCTTTTTGAAAGGTGCACATTCTCTAAGTAAATGTGTATAGAATCAGAGACTCAGGCCTGTATTTTGTCTTTGAGATTTTTTGCCCCAATTAGGAATTGTGTTTTTCCACCAATTCAAACAACTTCTGGATATAGCAAGAGTTATTGAACGTAGTAGTTGCCCACTGGCTAAACCTTACCACCCCAACTATATTCAGGATGATAACAAAGAGGCATATACTGAAGGTGGACTAAGCCTCAGATCAGTGAAGTTATCACAGATCTCAGTGGTTTTTATGACAAGACTGTTCTGTTCTCCTGTTCTGTTTAATCCTAACCCAGCTGGAGGTGATTAAGTTGACAAAATTAAAGGTGTACTCAAGCCATAACAACTTTCTGATATCAGATCAAGAGCTATTGCATTAGTATAATCTCAATGGTATTAGTAAATTTCAGTTCTCTTTAGTAAAATACTTTTCTTCATTGTTCACTGCAGTCGTGTTGGAGATTCTCCAATAGCTGGAGCAGGATCCTATGCTGATAGCACAGCTGGAGGAGCTGCAGCCACTGGAGATGGTGACACCATGATGCGTTTCTTACCCAGGTTTGTCCTTAGGGCAGACTTTGCTAGCTTTCAGAAGCAAAATGGAAGCTCAGCTAATTGTGTAGTTGACTGAAAGATTGTTTGACTTATTGGTTCTTGAAGTGGGAGAGAAAGGAATGTAAGGAGGAAGAATAGTAGCAAGATCAAGTCATCCTTACAACTTAACACTGAAATTCTGCCTAGCTGAGAGCAGACAGGCAGCAGTAACATGTGTATTACCAACCTGCATGTTCTTTAACAGAACAGATGAGCTTTTTCTCTGAAGTGTTTTGCTATGGGAGAAATAAGTCTTATAAACTGTAGAAAATATGATGAGTGACTCTTGGATTACCAAGGAACGTAGGGAAGTGTCACTGTAAAAAGACTATGTAATATCTAATTTGAAACTGGAAGAGATGGCTTAGTGCTGTCATTGTGGCTGTATAAACTGTAAAATATGTCTGTTTACATCACTGAATGTTGACAGTCATTCTAGTGGGCCAGTCTCAAAAGGAAAGCTTTATAGTAGCCTAAGCTGAACATAATGAGCACTGATGCTTTATGGAATCTAAAACAGTAGCCTTCGTATTACTCAAGTACTCCTTCTGAAACTGGCAGTTATGGATGCCTTCTGACAGATGTATGTTTTTAAAAGTTGCAGTCCTGAATGAGTGTGAAACTGTTCCAAGACAGTCTTGAAATAAAAGGCAAAATAATAAACGGAGTTTATTTTTATTTATTTATATTATTTTAAGGAATCAGGTACTCACAATAGTTATGAGTTGGATTTCACTATGAGGTTAATCAGTAAAAATGTACATTGTTCCTTAGCGGCCTGAAAAATTTGTTTGTAATGCTTAAAACATTTAATGTTTGCTTCAGTTAGTTTTAGAGAGCTCTGTTTAGACAGTCACAGGTTCATTGTAGAGCAGATCTTACTTAATTTCACGATGTTTAAGTGTTCCGAAATAAAAATGAAGACACATTCTCACAAGAATAGAATTGATCTATCAGAAAACCAGGAGGTGTCAAATCAAGGGCAAAATTTCTAATAGTTTCTGACTGCTTTTTTTTTTTTTTTTTTTTTTTTTTTGAGAAAGTGACATCTTACTTTGTTTTGATTATTGAGGATACCTCTGTGAAATCTAGCTATATGTTTAGATAGTTACAGTTCAATAACTTGAACCATTCCAATTATTATTAAAAAACAAAGCTAATAGGGAGTCAGAGAATGCAAGGAAAGGTCTCTTCTGAGGCACTTTGATGGCATCTGTAGTTAATGCTATCTGTGGATGAGTGTTTGTTAGTGTAACAAGTTGAGGTATTTATTTATGTATCTTCCATCAAGACAAAATTTAGTGCTGTTTGCTTTTGAGTAAATTATGCATTGTCATTTAATCTTCTGCTTCTGAAAGTAAACAGCAATAAAAGGTTGGGTTGTCGGTAGGTTTTACCACTGATGATATCTTGGAAATGCAAGTGATCTATCTCAAAGATCTTTGCCTCTGTTGTCATTTGTAGACTGATGCAAAGGAAATTCATCTTGATTATTTTGCATTTAGAATAAGATTTATTATTATTTTTAAAATATTTTCTTACAAAAATTTTGAAGGTAGCTCAGAGTCTTTATCTGAAGATGATACCTTCATATTTATAAAAGTTTTTATTTCAATTCTGAGTTTTTTCTGAAACTTGCGCCTCCTGGAAAATATTTTTAATGTTTTCTGGAATAAACAAATAGGGGTGAGTTGTGTGTAATTTCATAGGTTGTTTTGGTGGTGTTGATATTTATTTATTTATTTTTTAACAAATGAGATTGCCTACAGATAGGTCATTTTGAAAACTAGTAATAATTCCTCATGTGAAACTTAGTTATACATTAAAAAATAAAAGCGAGAAACTCTTCAGCTACTTTTTCACAGTTATTAAACTGATCTGTGGCTTAGCCTCTTCTGCTGCAAATGAGTAGGTTACCACAGGTTTGGTCTTGCCTTAGAATAATGGATGGTATAAATGACATCTTTAAAATCCCTTTTAGAACTGTTTTTAATAACACTTTATTGAATAATAATTGCTGATTTGTAGTTTATTTCCATAACTCAAAGCACTGTAAATCTCTCAAGGTGATATCTAACCTGAGTTTGGTTAATTGTCTGGATGGGAGGTGTTTTTATTTTATTTTATTTTAATTGCTTTAGCTATCAGGCAGTGGAATATATGAGGATGGGAACAGACCCGACAGTAGCCTGTCAGAAGGTTATTTCCAGGATTCAGAAGCATGTTCCAAAGTTCTTTGGTGCTGTTATATGTGCCAATACAACTGGAAGTTATGGTATGTATCTTGCTCAACAGGAAAATACTGTTGACACTGAATAAGTCACAGATAAGCAAACTTTATGGTAGACTTTAAAACAGGAGTCACTTATTGCTCTTTAAATACTGCAGTGATGTGGCCATTCATAATATCAAAGGCTGGTCATCAGGACAACTGTCCTCATGTGAAATTGAGATATTTTAATTTCTCCTCTGCATTTTTATATTTTAGATGTTTACAATATTTATGTGAGACTTCATAAAAATCAATAATATTTACAACCTTTATGTGTTCTCCTAGATTGTGTAAGATTAATTTAAAGTTTTTTTAAAAAAATATGGCATAAGGCAGGGAGATTGTGTTTCTTAAGCATAGCTTCAAAGCAATCCAAGATCAGTCATTGTGCCAGGCATCTCATTAGCAAACTCTCAGATCAGTAGCAAATATAATTTGCTAATCAACACAGCTTATTTAGTTGGTCTGCTTATTGCCATTCTTTGATCTTTTATTTCGCATAGTTCTGTGTTTAAGAGATTAGAGTTGGAGGAACTCATTAAATTAATCAGGATTGAAAGATAGATATATTTTTTTCCTAACTTATGGTACAATTTTGAGTTGTATTATACAGTAGCACAGTATTTTTACTTTAAATACTTTCAAGATATCTTGGGTTAAACAGATTCTAAAAAAGTAATTATACCATTGTAAAAGAATTAGAAATTGGGTGTTGGCTAGTGTATTTAGATGACAAAGTACTCTAATCCTAAATTTATCAAGTTATGTATTTTTTCTTCCCTAGGTGCTGCATGTAATAAAATTCCAGGATTCACTCAGTTTCACTTCATGGTTTTTAGCCCTTTGCAAAGTCAGCCTGCTGAACAAGTAGTAGATTGCATTTAATTTCTTTTACCCTGTTATCGTCTAAACTTAGAGGGGGAAAGTGCTAAGATTCCCAAGTTATCACTGTTTAAAATATTTATTTGATTTTGTTGTTTTGAAATCATGTGAACAAGTATAAATATATGTTGATGTGGATGCTTCGCAGTTCTTAATATGTTCTGTTTTCACATTGTGTAGTGTTGTTAAACTTGAGCTGTAGTTTTTTCATCTCCTTTATTTGCCAAATTATTTCTAAATGATTTCAGGGAGGTATTTTAGAGGAAGATTTTAAAAAAATAGACTCCGTGTACTTTCAGGAAAGTGGATAAAACTGCAAAATTATAGTTACTGCTGGCATATTCACAGTTAGCCTGGAAGGATTCTGCTTTAAAAATCAACATTTAAGTGAAATGGCTGAAATTAATGTGTCTCACTACTGAAGTCGCTTAAGTCGGGAATTTAATAGATGTTACCTTACGTCTCAACTACTTTTTGCAAATCTAACAGTCAAACTGTGGTTCTCAATACTGCACGAAGTTATCTATTCTATATTCACTTCCAAGTAGTGCCATGTTTCATCCATTTTTTGGGAAGTAGAGATTTGGTCATTGGAAAAAAAACTTTCAAAAAAGGCTCATAAAGTAGACAGGTAATCATATGGCATGTACAGAGATGAAGTGTCCAACAGCTCTTCTGTGTCTGCTTTCTTAACAGCTAAATAAACAAAAGTAGTGTATAATAACCACTGTCTAGACATTCACTTTTCCATTTAAAAACAAGTATTTGGCAGAAATATGGAATAAAGGGCAGGAAGGAGAAAGGGCTCTGTATCTATACAGGAGATTTATTTTAAGAATGTATAGTTGTCATTCTGAGATTTAGTCCCGGTTTTCCTTTCCCTTGAAAAGAAAATTACATGCAAATGTTAGCAAGCAAGGAAAGAGAACTGAAGAATAGTGAAGATTTTGAAGTCTCAATTAAAAGATTGAGAAATGAGAGAACTTTTTTTGAAAATAGCTGAAAATGTCTTTGTATGGAGAGGAAATCCTGTTAGTACACGTTTTCAAGGAATGTTGAAATATTTTGATAGTAAATGGGATGTGAGACTGATTTTTCCACATTGTAAATTAAATTATGAATCTTAATCACAGTGATTTGTCACAAGTGTGTTGTGTGCTTACATTTTCCTATAGCATCTTACCACTGCAAACATGGAGTTACTTACCTAAAGCATAGTAGTTAAAGAAAAAAAAAGAAAACCCACAAAAAACTGGTTTAATCACTTTCTTTAGCATCTTGGGGATTGTTTTAGGGGTACATGTGATGTGTGTGCAACCATGAGTTTAATAGGAAAAATTTTAAAATAAAAAAATAAAAGGGGGGGGTGGAAGTCAAGCAAGCAAAATGAGTACACCTTTTCAAAAACAATTGAATGCTTCTTTGTCTTTAAAATACTTTAATACAATGTTTTGGTAATAAAAGCACACTTCAATGTATCTTTTTTTAAGTCAGGTTATTTGTTGCTTATGTACTGTGCCTTAGAATGATTCTTACCTTATGTTCCAAGATGTATGTTAAGAGGCTGTAGAAAACATTTAAACTACAGTAGTCATCTTTAATGGTCTGCTGTTGAACTAGGTCAGAAAACTTATTTATTTGGAAGATTCACTTCTGTCACTGCAACTTTAAAGCACCTAATAATACAGAATTCATAATAGGCCACATCAAGCTTTTGTCAAAGGAGCTCTTGTTGTACGTATCTGCAGCTGCATGTGGTGTTTTCTATCTCTCCTACCTACAGCCATTCTGCAATAGCTGCTGTATTTTAAGATGTAGTGAATGAAACAGTATCTGTACCTGTAACTTCAGGCAGTCAAGTACGAATAGATAAGTAAAATCCCAATGATTATTTCTTCAAAGATAATGTTGCAAATGGTGAACATAGCAGTTCAGTTCTGCAGCGAGTGAATCCAGGATTCATTTTTCTGAGAGCTTGAGAACATTGATGACATGTTTTCTAGTGTGTTTATGTCACTGTGTTAGCTAGCATAAACAGAAGTTATGACTACATGCTAAAAGTACTCTGTAGAAGTGTATTTAAAGTCACTGAGTTAGAGTCCTAACTTTCTGCATAGTCTGCTCATCCATACCTGAGAAAAAATTACTCATCTCCGTGGGAGATACATATTTAACACATGCAGTTTAATGATGTAAATTGCTTTGTCATGCTGATTTAGTTATAAATGACTGGATTGGCACTTGCAAGTTAGTGACAGGGTTGAATGCCTCATGTCTGTGTTTTTTTTTTTGTTTGTTTGTTGTTTTTTTTTTAAGTCTTTGTTTACAGTTCATTAGCTTCAAGCTAACCTGCTTCTTTCTAATGCTTCCTACCAAATTATCATTTCATTTCTGATGTAATGGGGGAAGGAAACACCTCGGTGATACCGTTACATTTACTCTAGCTCTGATATGGAAGTGATATATGTTAAGCATTGAACTACAAATGTTCTTGCTAGGGGGTCTATTCATTCTTGTACATAAGTTCCATTAAGTTTACAGCAAAACAGCATTGCTAAATAACTACAGAGCAGATGTGACAGAATCTCAGGATTTTATGACCAGTTTCATTGATATTGTTTGAGCTGCTGAGTCAAGTGGTAAACACTTTTATATGTTTGTGTATTTAGCAATATTTGCTGTGTTCTTTTCTTTTTTTTTCTTTCCTTTTTTTTTTTTTTTTTTTTTTTTTTTTTCTTTTCCCAGCCAGCTGGAAGCAATGTAGGTGAATTCACCTGCTGGTACAATACTCTTGATGTGATTAGCTGGTATTTACAGTGACAGGTGCTGATATGTGAAATAAAAGCAATTAGCAGCTTCAGAGTGTGCCAATTGCTGTGAGATTTCCTCTTACTGGTGGTTTTATTCTTTTTTTTTTTTTTTTCTTAGTAGGACGGGGGAATAAGCATTTGAAAGATGTTCATTTTGTTTTTAATTATTCTTTTTCTCAGGTAGAGTTTTACAAAAACAAATGCATTGTAAATATGAAGGCTTTTTACTGTTTAGAAATGATGAGCTCTTGTAACACTGCTGCACATTTTCCAGGCAGAATCCAAATTATGTTTCAGCTGGAATCTCATTTGCTGCCAGATCTTACTTGTTTTGATTGCTTCTATTGTTTAAAACATAAAAAAACTGTGAGTTCTGGCACTTGAACATAGTTGCAAAGTTGAGTTGTGTTTTAAATTTATACCTTCTTAGCGTTTGTCATTTGAAGATCTTAAGGAAGAAGAACTCTATTTTAGCAGTACTAATGGTAAAGTTGGTGTATTTGAATATTCTTAGGTACAGATAGAAAGAACCTTGACTTGCCTACTTTTAGAAGATTTAGGCAGACGGAGATTGTTATAAAACCTAACTCTCCAAATGGGAGGAAGGCTTTTGTGAAAGTGACAGCTTAAGTGAGACTTCATGATTATATTTGCAAACTGTATTAACCTTTACAGTATGTGGGGTTAACTGATCATGGAAAGTACAGCATGGTGCTCTGACTTTGGCTCTTCTTGTTGTTATGAGATTAAATGTTTAAAATATTTTTATTAAAAATTAATAAAAATTAATAAAAATTAATAAAAATTAATAAAAAT